CTCTTTAACACAATTTTGTTTTAATATTGTTTTCTTGTCTTAATTCGTCATTAAACATAAATGAAGTGATTGTGTTCAAAGAAGATGCTCTTTAACCTACCATGTTTAAGAGGATACAAACACCATCAATCATCAGGCATAAAAAGGAGGTGATGATCCCAAAGCTCAGGAATACAATGGCGGCTGTAAGCTGAAAAGGGAACAAAGGAAAGGAAGAAAGCTGTTTGTTATCAAGCCAAGGGTTAGATTTTTCTATTGTGGTCATAATTTAGATTTAGCCTTGTGGTTTTAGTGAATTTTTTTGTTGTGTGTTTTCTTTTAGTCCTTGCTTTATCTTATTTTTATTTTATTAGTGGGTTTCTTTCATGATTTATCTTCCAAATGTTAGCTCTTTAACTGTACCAGCTGCCTGCGGTTCTCTTCTAGGAGGAGTCCTAAAAGTCCAAGGAACGAGCCGACAGTCAGCTGCAGAGGATAATATCAGAGAATCAAAATACAAAACTGAAAACTCCATCATCCATAAAACTCAGGGTAGAATAATAGACTGAATGCAAACGGCAGCAGCAGAACTGTGGATTTTAAGTTTCATGATTTTCTTATGATAAAAGCTGTGTCAGGAGTTAGAGTGGCTACACAGTGCAGAAACAAACTTCTTTAAAGCTACTTACAATAGCTCCAGAGACATAACCAGCCACATCCAGGCTCTCTGTGCGGGTCGTCGTGTAGGTTCCCAGCACCACCAGCAGCAGGGACAGACTGAGCATGCTCAGAACCAGCCACAGGGCTCCCCTCAGCCTCAGCATCACCTCTGCCAGCCACAGAAGAGACAAGAAACTTTGATGAAGACACCAGGATGAATGAGACATGTCTTTAGATGCCAGGTTCTTCTCTGTGAAGCTTTCAATACTATACAATACTGTAGATCTATAGTAAGAACATAACTCAGTTTAGTTACATGAATTTTATGAAAGATATGATCATCACTGCCTGTTTAGACTCCTTTATATCCAGAATACAAAGATAAATTGTAACATCAGTCTTATGCTTTCTTTGTGGTCTTAATGCACGTTGTAACAACATATAAAAAGTTAATTATCTCCTCTTATTTAAAATTAGTTTTTGTTTAACAAATAAAATCTGTAGAATTAACATCAAAGTCTTAGATGACTTCACCCTTTAGGCAAATTGTCATGAAGGACAGTAAATAAATTCCAATGATGACATCTGGTCCCAAAATGAACCTCCCACAAACAGGACAATGTGGGATATGTGTTAATATAACTAACTAACTAACTAACTAACTAACTAACTAACTAACTAACTAACTAACTAACTAACTAACTAACTAACTAACTAACATGGTTATAAAGTTCACCTGGTGTTGTCTGACTGTAGATTTGTCCTTGACTTGAATTGATCCTCTAACTCAGTGATTCCCAATTCGTCCATCAATGCATTGCTGGGTTATGTGGAAATATTTAATATTTTACTTCCCAGATAAAGAAATACAGTAAATAGGGGCTGGAACTGTTTTGCTCTATAAGGACCCAAATGCAAAATGAAGATTTTATCAACCAAAGAGATAAGAAAATGTCCTAAACAATATGTATATGAAAGCCTAGAGTGGGTATCGGTGCTGGGCACCTGCACTACTACAGTGAGAGCGGGAAGACACGGCCAAAGACAAAGGTCACAGGGAAAGAACGAACCAAAGCAGCTGCAGTTCAGGATAAATGGCTTAAACATCCCATTGCTGGGGATTCAGGAGGTCAGGTGTTTCATTAACACAGTGAATGATTAAAACAAAATAAAAATGTCATAGTGAAACTGATTTGGATTTTGTTATTTTTTTCCTGATTTGTCAAGTTTAGATGTGCGCTTTCAGAAGACCTCCAATTTGTAGGTTTGTAACATCATTTGACTTTGTACTTGTTTCAGTACTTATTCACTTTCTGGGCATATATTTATGTTATTTTTCATTCTAATTAATGAAATGTCTGAGCATTAAATAATTTTAATAATAATAATTTTCATTTTATAATCAGTTGTACTTCTATATTTGGACCAAGTACTCATAGTATGATGAAATGACCAAGTGGGTACACAAGTCAAAAAAGGCTGGGAACAACTTATTCATTTAAAACAAAAAACATTGCTTTAAGCCCTGCTGCCTGAGGCTTAAGCCCAGGTTCTACAGAAGCTTAACTGGACCTCAGTTAAGCTTCTGTCACAGCTGGATCCTGTGCGTTTTAAATATTTACCAGTAGCTTCTCTAAAGGATCGTCAGTGTTCAGAGATGTTGACTCTGCCCTGGATATCGCTCCTCCAGCGTTCTCAATAAAGGGTATGGGGAGTTTGTGATAAATAATTGTTTGGTTTCTTATAAACCGGATGCTGTTCTTGTTGTTATCAGATGTTATCTTGACTGTAAATCTGTGTTTTAAAAGGTCACACTGCTATATTCTAGTAAGAGGGAAACCGCTTTCTTGTAAAATGATTTATTACATGCTGTATTTGTTTAGCATTTATCAAAAGAATTGTATGAAGTTGGTCAAAGATGGCATTCTCTACAGACACTGCATAGCCCTTATCTAAATCTAAATGATCTCTACAAGCCACATCTGGAAACATCTCAGAGGTTTTATAGCAGGGAAACAGCTGATAACATCACAAATAGTTGAAACACAGATTTTAAGATAATTACATCAAAACTTTAAGCCTTTGGAAGAAATCGACTCCCTGACGCTCTCAGGAAACAAAAAAATATGGGAAACAATTTTTTGTTGTTCTAGAGTTCAGTAAATCTGGATGATGTCATTTCAGGGAAGCAATCAATCAGCTCCCCATATTTTAACAATTAGTTTCTAATAAGGTTGGATAAACTGCTTGGAGCTGCAAAAAATTATAGAGAAACGTGCCTTTCATAAAGGAGGATCCTTCCAAACACGTGAAGAGTTAAATCTGGTGCATCTCTGCCAAATTTAAACTTATTTTGTTTTACTTCAATGACCCCTTTTTGCTTTCTGGAAAACCAATGATCAAAGATCCTAACTATTTAAACAAATCTGAATTTATGTTGTCAGGTTGTGTGGAGGTTTTTAGAGGACCCAAATGCAGAGACGGAAGCTGAGGTGGTTTTTAGCAGATTTAATAAGGAGTCGTGGCACCTGAAACATAAATCCAAGATAACTGATCGAGGAACACAGGAACCAGAACAAAGGGGAACATGTGGTTTGAGGAGGGAATGAAGAGAATATATCCAACAGTAACTGCAGAGGAGTATAAATGCCAAATAGAACAAAGACTAGGGTAATCAACTAATTGGGAGCAGGTGTGGACAGAGGGATCTAGAAAGGAGCTAGGAGAAAGGAGACCGACACAACGGGGCAACAGAGAGTAAACAAGAAATATTTAAGAACGCAAATACAACCAGAAAACTACTAGAATGACATAAAATGGAAATGAAACTAATTAGCTAGAAAACACAGAATAAATGAATCAAAGTGTAACTGAAAAAACAGAACCAAAAAGTGCAAAATTATGACAACTTTGTAGTTATATATATGAAAACATGAGCTTGCATTACTTCACAAAAGTTTCACAAGATAGAGTTTTATGAAACTTGATTTTATGAGGGTGAGTAACAACTTCTGCGTAAATTGTTGCAAAGAAGTAAGAGAGTTTAAGATGTTTTGTATCTTGTCAAAAAACATGTTAGGCATGCAATCACATCTGCTGTAAAAATTTAACTTAATAATAAATAATAAGATTTTTCTAACATATCTTAAAAGAAGTTATAAAAAATAAGAAAATACAATAAAAAAGTAAGTATAAATATAAGTAAAACATTCTTCAAACAAAAATAGTAAACTTTTTAACCAATTGTACTGTATTACAGTTGAGGTTATTTTAAGCTGAGTGAGACAGTGTGACTGATGAATGAGTCTGAGCTGACCTTGAAACAAACTCCTGATTATGAAGCACTTTGAGAACAGCCATTATAATTTGGTGCTTTATTTTAAAAAATATAAATAAACGTTGAAATAGTAAAAATAAATACATAATATAAGGAAAATAACTGTTTCTTCTCTAATGTAATTTCTTTCAGAACGGTTAATTTAATAGTCTGACTATTTCTTACTCACCCCTCAGGCTGTTAGGTCAGTAAGATTTTAGTGTTAAATGTTGTATAATAGAACAGTTAAAACAATTTCTTCTAAGTATCCATTTCTTTCTGGACTTCTGTTAAATTACCTGTTGCTTGAATTATTCTGATTTCCTCTGCAGATCTCTGAGTTCTTGAAATCCGGGTATTGCTTCCTTATAACCAGTCCACAGTGTTTTTCCTGAGAAGCCTCCTCGTTCCGATCTGCTAGCCGAAGCTTTGGTGAGAACCTTTAAACGTCCTCTGTGCCCTAAGATACAGAAGAAACATGAAAGCTGTTGTTGCTCCAGCTGTGATCTGCGTGCAGAGAGCTTTGGCCTCTGGTGCATTCAGGGGTTAAAAGAAACTTAAGACTTTAATTTTCTTTTTTTTTCCCCCTGGCAGTCAACATATTCCAGGTGGAAACCTTAAAAATATTATTACAAGGCTATATTGAATGCAGCATCCTGAAGAACATTATGCTCAGAACATTTAAAACTCTTTTTATGGCTGAAACAATTAATTGTAATAACCATTACTAACTGATTGTTGAAATAATTAACTGATATAATGATTAAATAACCAATCTAACTGGGTTATTAAGTCACTAAAACATGCCATCTTCTGAAAGAACAACCCATTTAAATTAGTAACTAAGCTCAAAATATTAAAATTTTGGGATTTTAGACAACTTTGCATTTGCTTTCACTAGTTCATAGGTTATATTTTATTTGGATAACATTATTCTTTTTAAAGTGCACAAATAAATAATTTCATTATCCAGAATTTAACATAGATTTTCACTACAGAGGTAGCTGGACCTGTGCTGATATAGAAGATGTATGAAGATTGAGCTTTGGCGTATACCTTGTGTCCATTTTTTTAACTGAAGATGGATCCTTTTCTACAGATGTTAAAGTCTACAAAACACTGAATGAGATTTAGGAAATAAAATAGTAACTTTCTATTTACAAAGGGATTCAATTAATTGCTTTCATGCATGCTTTATGTATTTTTAGAACTCATAAGATACGCTTTAATAGTTAAAAAATAAATTCATAGCACACCAATTTTTATTTCCAATTAATTGATTAATTTTAAGAATATTCAATGGAATACTTGATTTGCTAAAGTAATAGTTAGATGCAACCCTATTTTATTTGATATATTTTGTATTTATTATTTACACACTCCTTCAAAGCTGGAGAAAGGCTAAAATAAGAGGTTTTATGTTGGAGCAAAACATTTTTTTGGCACTAATCAGTTTCCTGGAATAACACATGCCCCAGTTTAGTCTGCTTTTATTGGTATCTTCTGTCACAAAGTTCTTATTTAAGCCTCTTGTTTTTTTCTGCTGTCACTGTTTAGTAAGCTCTAACATGGTGAGACCATGAACATTGTTTTAGAGTATAATATAAAATTATATTTTGTTCTTTTTTTCTTTTTTTATTCAGTACAACCACAGACAATGAAAATTGTTTTATTCCAGCAGTGTGAGCAGGGGACACACACACGCACACATATATCTATATAGATATATATCTATATCTATATATAGATATATATATCTATATCTATATATAGATATATATCTATATATATATACATATACAGGTCCTACTCAAAATATTAGCATATTGTGATCAAGTTCAATATTTTCCACAATGTAATGATAAAACTTGAACATTCATATATTTTACATTCATTGCACATTAACTGAAATATTTCAGGTCTTTTATTTACAGATAATTTTGGTATACAGCTCATGAAACACATGAACACATGAAACACACACACACATATATATATATATATTGGTCAAATATTTAGTTCATTGTAACTTGCTTAAAAAATGAATGACACTCACACACACACACACACACACATTTATTTATATATATATATATATATATATATATATATATA